CAGCACCTCGACAGCACAATAAGAGAGTCAGGTCGCAATAGGAATTCCTGTTTCACAAAGGAAACAAGAACCTTAAGCAAAATATCCCAACATAGTGGGATATCAGCTCTTCTCTCATCAGTTCTAGGACTGACCTGTCGAGGGAACCTAAATATAAGTTATTACAAATCATAAAATAGCGAGACAAACTAATTGCTGAGGGGGTATAACTATATTTGTAAGGAGAGAACCCAAATTGCTAATCTTTTGCAACTTGGTCTTTGCCATAACTTCCCATGCGTGGAAGGAACTTTACATACATTAATTATAATGTACGTCATATACGAGCAAGAAGAGTAAGCAATATTGTTACCCGGTTTATTTACAGGGATGGAAAACAAATACGCAAAAACACATACACGTATATACCTAGATGTATACAAGTATCCAAATTGTACTGAGATACTCATCACTACTATTCTAGTGAGCAAAAACCAATGTGAAGCATATAGAGAGAGATCTAGATATTTTTCTATTTCCCACACAAACCTTTAACCAACTTGTTCTTTCATTTCCGTGATTAAGTTACCTACTCTCTAATTGCCGAAGGACCCGCAAGTCACGGCGGAAATTAAAATTTAGTTATTGAGGACACAAAAACACATGTAACTTGAATACTTCAATAATACTAGTATTTATTACTTTCATCAAATTAGCAAGAAAACGAAGCTCACATGAGGTTATGAATTAAGGCGCAAAAGATGTGAATGCTCGCCATGTGATCAATCAATAGAGAAATTTAAATAACAACAAATTTGTACCATTAATACACGATGCTTGTAGTTTTAGACAACAACAAATTAACAGTACAAGCTCTCACAAGATCCAATCTAGAGACTAAGAAAATTTTATAAAATCGAAGATATATTAAGAATCTAAACTGTGGGATATTGATTAGTGGCTGACTTGTCTGGTTCGGATGAGCACTAATGTTGTCTCTAGCTAGCTTGAACGTGATGCCCTAAACTTGTGCATTAAGAATTGGGGAGACAGTGCTTCCGGTTTCTTTCCAATTAATTCATCTATGGAATCTTATATATTTAGTAATATCATGTGGAAAAATAAACTTATGATAAGATAATTAACAGGTCCTGTACAAAAGTTATTTTAAAAACATTTGATTTTTTTATCATTGTCAAAATTAATAAAGGATTTAAAACGTTCACTTTCTTCCCCAATCCGGTGTCTGACGACTACGTGGAATTTTTGCACAAATTTTTTGTTTTGCCAAAAATAAATTCTAATTGTAAAAATTAAACTATACTTGTAAAAATTAAACTATAATTGTAAAAATTAAGAAATCTCTCTTTCTCTCCCTCCCCCCTCTCAATTAATCTCTCCCCCTCTCTCTATGTCCAGTGCCGATGCCGACGCGACGGCCTGTAGCGAACGGGCTGCAGGCACGGGTCGGCCGACGAGAGAGAGGAGAGCAGGAGGGAAGATAAGTGAGGCGGGAGTGAGCAGAAAGAGAGATTGAGGGGGGGAGAGAGAGAAAGAACGGTACCTCTGAGAGAGGAAGCGCGAGCCCGGCGGCTGGCGGTGGAGGAAGGGCGGCGGCGGCGGCGGTGGAGGAAGGGCGGCGGCGGAGGGGAAGAGGGGGTGAGAACGAGATCCAAGAGGGGAGAATTTGGGAAATGAAGAGAGGGGGGGTTGAGACAGTGGGGGGGGGAATGATCGGGAGAGAGGGATGATCGGGAGAGAGGGATTGGGGGAAATATCGGGCGCGGGCTGCCCAAAAAATTTGGGCGCCCGCGCCCAAAAAATTTCACCCTGTTCTTTTTTAGCGACGGAAAATCCGTCGCTATAAATCCGTCGCCAAAGTTTTAGCGACGGAAAATTTCCGTCGCTAACATCATATTTTCCGTCGGTAAATTAGTTTTACCTACGGATAAATAGCGACGGAATTTTCCGTCGCTATATGTCATGTTATAGCGACGGAAATTTCCGTAGCTATTTATCCGTAGGTAAAACTCTATTTTCTAGTAGTGATCTGTGTGTATTACTATCCTTCAGGATAACCCACTAAAGTGATCAATTAATTTGGATTAATAGGTATTTAAATAAATTATGGGGTTATATGTGCAGATACCAGGTTGTAATTATAATTTGATAAAGGGGCAAATTATAAATGTACAACACCTATAAATAAGGGGTTATGGTCCCTAATCTAGGGTTATATTCTTTAATTCTCTTCACCCCCATCTAGAGAGAAATTTGGCTAGAGAAACCCTAAGGTTAGAAGATCATCAAAACCCTAATCAGGTTTTCCTCAATGAATTCAGGTATATGCTTCCGCATCTTTTGATTATTATTAATCTCTTTGAATGAATCATGGCTTTATTATTTAGATCTTAAATATAAGATCCTAACATCGTCACCATAGAGAAGGGATAGTAGCAAATGCTACCATAATGATATATAAATATATCTAGGTCGATGCTCCACACGAGTGTCACTAGTCCAGCTTGTTTCTACCACATTGAACCAAGGACTACGTCTCCAAATAAGGGTTGGGTTGCCGCTGTCAGTGACCTCATCGATGGGCTTAGCCCCATCTCCCTCGATGAATCCAGAACCACACTCCTGGATAGACCCTTTGTTAATGGGTCACCAAGATCCTTTTTAGACTTTACAAAGTCTAGAATCATAACTTTGCCTAACAGGCGTTGTATATATTTATCAAGTTATTTTATAATTTTGTCTTTCATATTGTTTGACATTAGGTCATAACACTATTCCATGTGGGACTATTCATGAAGGTAAAATTGTCTTTTCTCCAACAAAATATCCAACAAGAACCCGATGAAAAGAGACTTTACTAGTCTAACCTAGTCACAGAGATTATGACTCGCCATAAAAAATGAGCAAGCACGTATTGTTCACAACGGTTCATCTTGAACGCAACAGCTTCAATAATTTGACGTAAAAAAGAACTCTTTTATGAGCCGCGCTTAATTTTCAACTGAATTATGAGCAAATGCGCATTGATATATAGTATAACTTGTTTATGGCAGAGGTCAATTTGCCTTGGATTTTCTAAGATTTTATGGTCCAGGATGGGACCGAAACCAAGTATGACCTTCCCTCCAACTATAGAGGAACAAGTAGGGTTGGGCTTGTGCAGACAATGACAAGATTGAGTCAACGTCGATCTGATTCGTGAGAAGAGCGCGAGGGGTAGCTATATGCACATTAAGTAATCGATACGTGGACGGATAACGAGATCAAAAATACAGATAGGTGACGATCGTAAACACACGCATATTAATTTGAAAGCTTTTCGAATCAAAAAACACTACAACCATAGCATATGAGATATAGTTATCCTCATCGAATGGTTGTTGAGAGTCCAACAACAACACTGAATTAATAAGTGCCTACTGTCCTCACTTTATGCATAGAATTAAAGCTAAAAGGAAAAAGTTGGTGCAAATATGAGCTTGCAACGCGTCAAGATGAACAAGGATGGGGGTTACAACATCGACATTATACAAGACATGAAGAGGCATTTGACGAAGCCCCTGTCAGGATGCTGCACCAGGGGAAGTACAGCATCCAGGCACAACTGAGGGAGGATAAAGCACCCGTCATTGATTGACTACCTAACGACGATAAATCTTGTGAAGGGGGCAGTGAAGGAGAAATCTAGCTAACTCGTGCGTGCGCTAAGCAGTTCAATCCTCTGATCTGTTGACGACGGGCCTAATTTTACGTGACGGGTATACGAGAGACACTACAGGTTATAAATTTCTTCTCACTTGGAAGGATCATTTCTGAATAAGCTTGTTCTTGCTATAAGAACTAACTAATACGGTCCCAACTTCCTGTTTAAGTACATTACTCACTCACTTTAGTTCCTCTCAAGCCGAGACCATGAATCCTAACAGCTTCTATAAGAACGTTGCTAAAACAGTAGCAGAACATAAAATCTATCAACAATCACGACATTGCGACCCAAAGTTTCCATCTCTAATTAAGTGGTATGAAAGACGATCATTTCGACGAGAACACAGAAAATTCAGTCGTAGGATTGGACCATACTTGAGGAGGTGACTGCTGTGGGGAAATTAAAGCTTGACCCATTCCGGGGGGAAAAGCTAATTATGAATAACACAGTTGTGAGGCAATTATTGGAAGGATTTAGGTAGGCCTTAAATACTTAAAAGAAACTATATATTAATTGAATATCCGGAATCGCGTTATTTTGGTCAACAACATGCATAAATTAATGAGGAGGAGCCTAAGAAAAAAAAAAGGAAGTAAATATACTTGCGTATGAAAGGAGTGCTTAGAAGCTCAGGGTGCCTCCAAATCCGAAAAGCATTAGTTCCCCCTCTTCCGATGAGAAATTAACAGATGTGAGTCTTTGGACGATGGCTTTGCGCGTTTATACCGTATAAAGCTATCCTGAACACCCTGTCAATGATGCATCAATAAAAAAGTATACTAATCCTCAAATTCTGTTGCACATCCAAGCATTCACGAACTATATAGCTGCATTACTATTAATGCCAACAATACTGTATCGTAGTCGGCCAACTGTAATTTATTTCTTTTTTTGGTGGGTTGTTGGGGGGGGGGGCGGGGGGGGGGTTGAATAGGGTATCGTTGGAGCTTGAATTAGATCTAATGTGGATGAGAATGTGTAGAGTTTGCATGCAGCCGATTTTGCAAGACATCTGGCGTCCTTGAGTTTTAATAGGTCAGACTACATACAGGGTTTCCATTGAATTGCAGAGAAGATATTCCTGACCTATATATGACCTCGGTACCACAACGGAGTAGCCTTGCCTCATGCCGAAGAACGCTCTCGTTTTATACGACAACCCAGACTCGGCAACCGCTATATATACCTCTAACTAATCAAAGCTCTATAAACTTGAACCCTGAACATGATGCGGTTCCCTCTATCGGAGAAGAAAAATAACGGTATTCAAATGAAGGGTCGCCTGAAGATGCAGGTAGTACATTGCACAGCCAAATCCTATATACTGTTCTATTGGGAGCAAGAGAGCAAACACTGTTTCGATGAAATACATTGGACTTTGCGGGCTCATCAATTGGGCCGTAAGATATCTAAAGAAGAGGCGGCTGATCCCAGAACAGGGATGTAATCATTGAACGTAAGAGTGTTTTACTTCATCGCACACGCCTATATATGCCTGAGAAGCAAGCGACAAATATAGGATAAGCCAACGCCAAGGCACCCAAAATAGAGGAGCACGGATTTATTTCATGATTTTTCACCATTTGCTTATCATTATGAAATAATAATAAAATGGACCCCACATCAGTGTAATGTCATACAATCCTTCAGCCTATAAATAGAGCCTTTTCTCACATTCCTCCTTCATTATACTCTCTTCTACTATAACATTGAGCTATGAACATCAGTGGTCTAAGTGAGCTCCACAGAGCATCGCTCATACTCTTGTTTGCACTACTAGCAATCCTTGGGTCTCGATGCATGTTTCATTGCATACTCACAAGGAGAAAGAAGTTCCGGTTACCACCGGGCCCATTGGGCCTTCCGCTGGTAGGCAACCTTCCATTCCTCGGCCCAAAGCTCCACCACCGCTTCGATGAGTACTCGCGGGCATACGGCCCGATAGTGAAGCTTAAGCTCGGTAGCAAGCTCTGGATCGTCATCAGCTCACCAGAGATTGCAAAGCAAGTTTACAAAGACAATGACATCATCTTCTCAAATCACGATCAGCCCATCGCCGCCAGAGTCATCTCCTACGAGGGTTCTAACCTAGTCCGAAGCCCTTACGGGCCCAAGTGGCGAATGTTGCGCAGGGTTTTCCTACACGAGCTTCTCAACAACAAGAATCTTGACTCCTTCTCTACTCGTCGACAAGAAGAAGTTGACAGAATGGTGCGCGAGCTTTATACAAAAAGGAGCAGTCCTATAAATGTTGGAGAGCAAGCTTTTGCGGCATTTCTGAATTTACTCACAAGTATGCTATGGGGTGGGACATTAGAATGGGAGGGAAATGGTGCAGGGTTCAGGCAAGTGGTGATCGAGGCAGTGGAGCTGCTAGGGAGGCCAAATGTATCAGATTTCATACCGATGCTCGCTTGGTTCGACCTGCAGAGAATAGAGAGAGAAATCAAGAAGCGTGTTTTGTGGCTCGATAAGTTGTATGATAGCATTATTGACGAAAGGATGAAGCTCGTTGCGGTAGGAGAGAAGAACTGCAGTCAGGATTTCTTGTCAATTCTTCTAAAGATTAAAGAAGATGCTAAGATCCCGCTGACAATGACCAACCTCAAGGGCTTGATCATGGTAAGTTTTTCTCTTCCATCTGAGTCTGTTTTTCGATTATTTTGCTCATTAAAGGCTCCAAATATCTCAAAATAAGAGCATCCAGGTGTTTCAAATTAAGTCTCACTAACCATTAGACTAAACCTCATGAGCGTCAAATTTCTTTGGACCGAAACATGAACGCACGCAACGGTATAAATTTTTAGAAAATCTACTTTGAATCTTGATTTCGCTGAGACCATCCTAATTATGGAATCTAAATCTTGATTTCGCTGACACAATCTTAATTATGGAATTTAAATCTAGATTTCGCTAACACCATCTTAAATTAAGTCCATATATTCATAACACCCAGACTCCGAAGTTATGATGAAAATTGAGGGTTCACATTTTTATATTCTTTCAAGGTGCAGTGTGAGCTCCCTCCATGCGGACAAGTTCATTTAAAATCTATACTTTGGTGATCTTATGAATGAGAAATGATAGAGGCACACACTCTCCACCACACCTCTAACCACACCTCCCCTCCCGCTACAGTACACCGGAGGCCACTTGAGATTTAAATTTAAATCTCAAGTAGGCCCCGGTGCACCGTAGCGGGAGGGAAGATGTGGTTGGAGGTGTGGTGGAGAGTGTGCCTCTAGTGCCTCTCCTTATGAATATAATAATTAGACGTCATAATATGACGCATGCAAGTGGACAATAGACAAATTTATCCTCACGTCCGACTAAAGACTGGTTCCAAGGAGATAACGTTTGGTTGATATATATAGAGTAAACCTAAATCTAGTCGATCGAAATTCTGTTCCCAAGAATGAAATGTTATAGGATCCTGGTATATATTTTCTTTTCCTGTTCTAAGATCACCTAGCTGCACATTATGGAGCGCTAGAAAACACCAAGTAGGTCACAAGACAAATAAAAATAATAACAAAAATAGTAAATAAATAAACTCAAGCCCTGTACAACTATTTAGTACTCATAAGGCCAATTCAAGAGTCGGCACCACATGGAGCGCGCAGCATCCAAATTGAGTCAAACCAAAAAAAAAAAGCCGGCGCCAAAACTTAATTGTAAGCATCTATTATTCAATTCCTAAAAAAAAACATCTATTATTCTCTATACATGTATGAGATCAAATCCTGTGCCAATTGATTGTGTGTGGCACAATCCCATGCACTAATGCCACAGAAAACGACATGTGCGCTGTAGGATGGTGACAAACAAGTTAGAATTTGGGGTGACACCGAATTAAAATAAAGATAAGAGAAGAGGTACGTTGGCTAGAATTTCTCACATCTCACGGCATCAACAAATGCGTACTTTGAGCTAAAGTGGGAATCTACAAATAGGATGCAATCGAAATCACTGGTATCATTATCCTTAAGTCCTAATAACCAGGCATTAGTCACATGTGCATGCTAATTGATGATTGATTTAAGGGCGAGTCACTTGTCTCGCTCCTGATAATCAAAATGATAGTGTCCATATGCAAGTCTCCAATTGGCCAAAGAACCCGCTGATAGTTACCCACTGTTCATATCCTGGACTAATCATAATCTAATGCACGAGTTCAAAAGCACGTAGGAATGTTTAGTGTCGCGCTCACTACATGTAGCCAAAATATGCTTAACAGAATAGCGTGTAGAGTATATAAATCCAAAATATATAGGGTCGGACACCTGAATAATATTTTTCCATTATGTTCTATTATAGGCCAATCACCTCCGTTAAATTAATCATTATCATATCTTTCTTAATTGCTCACAACTAAATTCTTTTAGGTCTACCTCTAGATCTATTTGTCCCGCGCGTTTGCTACAATATTATCACTTTTCCTAACTGGTACACTAAGAGGCCAACATTGTCTAATGTGTAGAGTATATGCAGCCCTAATTGCACTTTGGTGCATTTTGTTGATGTCATGAGTCAGATTTGAGCCGCAGGCAGGCTCCTATATGTATTTTCCAAAGTCTTCTGAAACTCTGTGATTATTCTGCTCTTTGTTACAACCGAATCTAATTAATCTGAACAAAACCTGCGAAATCTCTCTATGTACATTCCTTTCCTTAGGTTTACTTGGTCCCAAAATATTGCTAGATGAAACCAAAACCTTAAAACTTTACCTGTGTGCGCAGGACATTATGGTAGGAGGGACAAGCGTCACCTCATCGACAGTCGAGTGGGTGATGGCAGAGCTAATGCACAGACCTGAGATCAAGCAAAAAGCCCAAGAAGAGCTCGAAAAAGTAGTTGGCCAAAACCACACGGTCAACGAGTCCCACATCCCCAAGCTGCATTATTTACGAGCCGTGATAAAAGAATCTCTCAGACACCACGCTGTGGTCCCTTTACTAGTCCCTCGTGTACCTAGCCAAACCTGCGTCGTGGGGGGCTACCTCATCCCAGAGGGAGCTCGTGTGGTCACAAACGTCTGGGCTATCCATATGAACCCTGAATTCTGGGAGAATCCTTCAGAGTTTCAACCAGAGAGGTTCTTGAATGCCAAGAGCATCAGAGAATTTAGCTTCTTCCCTTTTGGATCAGGGAGGAGGAGATGTGCAGGATTGCCGCTAGTTGAAAGGATGCTGCCGCTTGTTGTGGCCACATTGTTGCATGCATTTGAATGGAGATTGCCAGAAGGGGTGGAATTTGACCTTTGTGAACGACCAGGGGTCACCTTAACCAAGGCGAGACCAGTTCTGGCTATTCCCACACCAAGAATTGACATTTCAAAACTCCATAATAACTGCTAATGATCGCGTTCTCAGATATTGATGGAAGACTGGTAACAGGTTGTGTACAACGTAGTAAATGGAAGCTAGCTGCATATGAACGAGGGTGCAAGTCCAAATGGCTAAAGGAAAATGTAATCGGTGGAAGTTACAGATAGGTATGCAGATGCTCTGCTTCGATTCTGTAATATGATGTCATGCTCAATGTATTTCCAGCCAAATCTAAAGAAAATTATATCAATCTGTAGCAACGTAGGTTGCTCATGTCACTAAATTTTCTCACTAGCACGGACACAGTATACCAGTGCATATTCAATTTAGAAAAGCACAGACTAACTTTATAACATTGAATAATTAGAACAGGCAGGAGTGGTAACCTTGACTATCAAATAATCTGAAGAGTAATAGCACTAAAAGGAAATTTCGCAACATTGAATACGAATGCAGCTGTAACCTGAAAGCTACCTTAAAAATTAAATATATGGGATTTGAACTCCATACCTCTTGTACAGCTGCAATAGACTTTTAACACTGATAAAACTATAATTTACTGAACTTTAAGTGCATAATTACACTTGAATCAGATAAGTAAATTAACATGTAGGCTGATGGTACACATGATTGAAGGAGAAGACTGATCAACAATCGGCAGTGAAGATAGATAATCTTACTGGGATATACAAGTTCAAAAGTACAGAAGAAATAATCTGAAAAGAATAAAGTTCAATTTAATCTAGGTCAATCAGTGAATGAAAGTTCCCTAAGAGATGCACTATGAGAAATATTTCCTCAATAAAGATGAAATTGAAAAATAAAATAAAAATTCCTAATATAACTACTTTCTTATGTAGATTTTGAAGAATTTTTCTGGGATCGTGCCTAATCAGCTATTGTCCAGGGAAAATGTCACTCCCTTCCTCCCAGTACTTCATGCGGGATCGATATTTATGAAATTTTGAAATGAAAAAAATTTAATTTTTAATCAAGAAAAGTTTTCATGCCTTTTTATATACTCCCTGTCAACCACTTCATAGTTTGTTCTCAACTAAGCTTCAAAAATCTGACAAGCGAAACTGAAGAAGTCATGGTTAGCATTAGCTCATTAACAAGGATTCAGTAGTATTCACCTAATTATGATAGGAATTTCCACCTCCAACATCTTACACAACTAAGTGATGAGAACAGAAACGGAGCTTGCCGCATAGCAATTAAAAACTTTGACAACACATAACTAGCTCATCTATGTGCCTAGAATCACCGTTACCACAAACATAGGTCTCTTCGGTTGAAGGATAACTTCCATCACAGAGGGCATCCAATAATGAATCTCCTGGAACTTTACTGGTCTTAATCAAATAGTATGAAGATAATCCACATGTCACTAGTCTCTGCAGATGATAAGGTAAGATTGAATGGCAGCCTAACTCGTACCCTCCTCCATTATCCTTATCATCCCCCACCTGGCTGCAGCAGATTACTTGATTTTATCACTTTAAGCATTCATTTTACAAATCAAGGTTCAATAGCTCTATAGCTTGATTATGTAAAATTTAAAATGATTCAGTAACAATACAAATTGACACTTTTTTTACATAGATTTATACAATTTCTTGTGTTTAGATCCTAAAATATGTAACCAATGTCAGCTTGTGCCAAAGTATGCCGTGCACATTTGAATAAAGTTTATTTTCTCCTGCTTATAGCATATCCGATTCCTCTTAAGTTAGTTTAAGTATTTTTGTGATTTAAATACATTCTTATTTACTAATTTGTAAATTTCAATTATTATGTATTTGCTAGTTTGTTTGTAATATATTATCTCATATATTTTACGGAGCCAAAGGACTAGAGGCTGGTAGGCCTAAGAGAACAATCACAAAGGAATTAAAATAGGTACATTTGTCAACTTAAGAAAGGAGATAGCTCCTAGTCTTATTAAATCAAATACAAAACTTTATAAGCTTAATTGCATTTGAATACCCTATAGTTTCCCCTACTTTGCAGTTATATACACTCACTTGCTTTTGGCAGCACTTAAATACTCTGAAGTTTTTAAAAGCTTGCACTTAAATACCCTAAAGTTTTCAAAACTAGCACTTAAATACTCTAAAAGTTTTTAAAATTTGACGTCAATACCCTCATGCCTGCATAACTGAGGGTATCTAAGTACAAGTTTTAAAAACTTTAGGGTATATAAGTGATGCCAAAAAAGTGAGGATATATATATCTACAGGTTTTAAAAACTTTAGGGTATATAAGTGATGCCAAAAAAGTGAGGATATATATATCTACAGGTTTTAAAAACTTTAGGGTATATAAGTGCTCCAAAAAACAAGTGAGGATATATAAGTACAAAGTAGGGGAAACTATAGGGTATTTAAGTGCAACCAATTTTATATAGTTGATCCCAAAAATTTTGGTGTAAAAGCTTAATTATTTTTTAATTTTCTTTTTGATAATTGTGCTACTTGTAGTAAAGAAGTTCATTAATTGGCTCGTATGATAAAAAAATTTATTATGTTATCTATTTGCATGTTAATATTTCCACTTAGTATTAATATCAGGTCCAATAGCGATAACTAGATATAAGACAAGTATTAGCAATCTGATACGGCCAATTTCTAAAATCTTATTAGAAATTTCATTGTGCCTTTCAATTTTTGCATTCATTGTGCCTTTCAATTTTTGCAGGTCCACGTGTTTTAGTAATCTTCATATTGTTAGAATATAAAACTATAATCCTCAGCCCTTATCACCAATTTGGTGTTTTGGTCTAGTGAAGATTTCTTCAATATGGCATCAGAGCAAAAAAGGGCAACAAGAGCAGCTCAGTGCACAAACCTCTCACTATGCGCATGGTCCATGGAGAGGCTGGACCTCTACTGTATGCAGCCCTACCTTGCATTTCTACAAGAGGTTGTGCATATATAAGAGCAATCCGAGTTTAAATCCCACCTTCCACGCATGTAAAGTGGACTGAAAAAAGGTACCACCGTGTGAGTGAGTCTAGATTTCAGCTCATAAAAATTGCTCAACTACGGACTCATATTAGAATATAAAACTATAAACCTTAAACCTCACCTAGTGACATAGCAGTGGAAGGTTCCTTTGATAGATATTTTAAAAGTTCTCACCTAGTGACATAGCAGTGGAAGGTTCCTTTGACACATATTTTAAAAGTTTTCATTTCCTAACCGGGGATGTCGTCTGATATCTCAGTCTCTATTGTTAATTCATACTCGAATATGTAATTATCAAGACAACATTAAATTGAGCTTAAGAAAAGACATCAAACATCTCAGCCAAGATAGAGACAAAAAACTTTAGTCTAACAAAAAAGAATTTCTCATTAAAATACTGCCAATGTTCTCTACTCTCATTCTTAGTACCAAATAGAGATAACATGGACTGATAAATAGTTGGGGAAGAGAGATATGTAGCTTTTGATAAGAATCCTTACCTCCAAATACTAATATCACTAATACTAGTGGCTTTTGATAAGAATCCTTACCTCCAAATACTAATATCACCAATACTGATGAATAGCTTCATGATTTATATGGATTAAGGGATGACAAAAATTTAGAGACACTGACTTTCTAATATATTTGTACAATTACCATAAAAAGAATAGAATAAAGGTTTTGTTGTTGCTGTCGTCGTCATTGTTGTAATAACCATAAAAAGAAGACAAAGAACATAGCACCTTTCAATTAGTTATACCATTCATACACTCTCAATCTCATCTCTCCATTGTAAAAAAACATTAAATATTGTGAACAATAAAGACCATGATATGAGGTTGTCATTCTCATTAAGGAACCCAAGCAAAGAAGCATCATCAGAAGCTCTTTTTGAACAAACCAAAAGATTTAAGTCAATCTAAACTATAGTGCATGGAACCCAGTTCGTTTTAGTTCATAGGACGGGCACAGAAGCATTGTACGTCATTGATTAGGAATCGAGTACAAGGGGGTACGCTTATCAGTACACAACCCTTCATCATAGAAGTCGGTAACGTGGGACGCTATAGCGAACCACGACCCGGGTTCAACCGTCCCAATTCACAGTGAATACGACCTGATTCACTAACTCGGGCAAACCAATTTACAATTCACACCAATTAAACTTTTGAACAAAAATACCTCTTTTAAGTAACAAAAAATGTGAGAAATTAAACAAATAAAATATGCACACCGTAACTACAACATGATTCTCAAGGTTCTTTACCATTATTGATACCAACTAACATATTTTTAAGCCTCTCGCAAAACCTCTAATCTCGACCTTTAAGGATCGAACATAAAACGTACAGCGTTCCCTTGGCTGGACTCAATTTCACACATCCTAATTATTCATAAATATAAGTAACAATCAAGTAACTTTTTCTGCAAACACAGGCAAGCACCCTCGCTTTCATAATAATGAAACAAATCAAACAAATTGAAACTACAAACAGATGCAGAGTGAGAGAATTGCAACGTATACGTATGTATGACGCTTACAAACAACCTGATAACTTTCATCTTCAACAAAATCCAACAATCCAATCTGATTTTATTTCTCTAAAACAGGTCATACTTCTAATTACTGAAATTACTGTATGCTCATGATCTTCAGTATACCATTGACTTGAGTATTAGAGTTTGTTATTTTTTGACTTTCAACATGAATTCAAGACTCACCAACCCTATTACTATTTCACCCACCCCATCACTATTACACCAACCTCTCACTATTCCACCAACCTTTTTGAAGCTATAAATACCTATAAAGATGAGAGGTAAATGCATTCAGAATAGAGAGAGGAGAAAGTTGAAGAGAAAAGAAAAAGAGAGTTTTCTTTGAGTGTTCTCTTCTTTGTGTGAGTTTGGAGAGATATTAGAGTGGGCTCCTTTTATAATCTTCTCTTTATAATTAGTGAATTCATCTGTTGTTCTAGACTTCTAGTCACCGAACCACGTTAAATCTTAATGTACTGTTCTCTGTTTCTATTATGATTATATAGTACCGTGTTATTATCCACTTCGTATAGACATCTTCTGTGGCTGTGTAACCCCCGCTATAACAAACTGGTATCAGAGCTCCAGTATTATTCTTGTGGGCTTCAACATATCTTCTGTAAAATACAAAGTGGAGAAATTTGATAGAAGAAATAGCTTTAGTTTGTAGAGAGTCAAAATGAAGGCTCTCCTAGTACAACAATATTTGCTCAAAGTCTTGTCCGGGAAGGACAAGTTGTCGGAATCAATACTCGATGATGAGAAAAAAGAGCTAGAGTTAAAGGCGCATAGTGTCATACAGCTTTGTTTGGCGATGAGGTCCTACAAGAAGTTACTAATGAAGATACCGCGGTCGGTTTGTGGCTCAAGTTAGAGAGCTTGTACATAACAAAATCTCTAACGAACAAGCTCTACTTGAAGTAACGTCTCTTCACGCTTCGCATGAAGGAATGTATGCGAATTAAAGACCACTTAGATGAACTTAACTCTATTATTATGGATTTAAAGAATATTGATGTTAAAATTAATGAAGAAGATCAAGCCTTCATTTTGTTTTATTCATTACCTCCTTCATGTGAATTTTTTGTCAATAGTATGCTTTATGGTAAAGATTTACTTTCTTTGAAGGATGTCAAATTAAGGCATAAAGTGTCTGTCGTGGGAGAGGATCAAGCGAAAGGTTTGTTTGTCCGTGGTCATCCTGACAAGGGTGTTCGTAGTAGAGACAAATCTAAAAACATGTCTAGATCAAAGTCAATGCCAAGAAAAAATGTAAAATGTTATTACTATCACAAGTTTGGGCATATAAAACCTAATTGTCCAACGCTCAAAGTAAAGAATAATTCACAATCGAAGTCTTAAGAGGTAAAACCTTCAGTTGTCACTATAACTAAAGAGTCTTCTAGCTCCTATAAAGTTTTTTCAGTTCGTGTTAATACTCATTGAGTGGGTTCTTGATTCGAGTTGTTCCTACCACACGTACATAGGGATTAATTTGTCATATATCAGTCTATTGATGGTGAAAATGTCTTGTTGAGAAATAACATGTCTTGCAAAACTGTTAGTATCGGGTCAATTAAAATTATAACACATGATGACATTGTTAGAATATTGAGTAATGCCCGACATTTACCAGAGTTGAAGAAAAACATCATTTTTTAGGCACTCTTGACTCTAATGGTTTTAAATTTTCAGCTGAAGGTGGAGTTTTAAGAGTTAGTAATGGCTCTCTTATTGTGATGAAAGGAAAAAAAAGTAAATACCTTCTATATCCTTAAAGATAGTATAGTGCCAGGTGTTGTAGCAGTGTCATCCTCAGAGGATTCAGATTCTGACACTACACGTTTGTGGCATATGCGATTAGGACACATGAGTGAGAGAGGACTAGATATATTAAGCAAACAATGTCTGTTTTATGGTCAGAAAACTAGCAAGCTAGACTTTTGTAAGCGTTATGTTTTCGACAAACACCACAATCTCCTTTAGTACCGATGTTCACAGAACCAATGTTACTTTAGATCATATCCATTCAAATGTTTGAGGTCCCTCTCAAGTTTCATCGAAAGGTGGAGCTCATTTTCTGCTAACATTGATTAATGATTATTCAAGAAAAATTTAGGTGTATCCTTTGAAGCATAAGAGTGATGTATTCGCAAGCTTCAAGCAATGAAAGATTATGATTGAGAAGCAAATAGAAAAAATGAAGCACCTCAGATTCGACAATGGCATGAAATTTTGTTCCACAGAGTTTGATCAATTCTGCAAGAATGAAGGTATTGTACGTCATCGTACAATTCGGCATATACCACAGCAAAATAGAGTTGCAGAAAAGGATGAACAGAACACTTCTGTAGAGAGCTCAATGCATATCTCCAATGCCGATTTGTCAAAACTTTTGGGCTAAGACAATCAATACAGTTTGCTATTTGATAAACAAATCTCATTTTACAGTAATTAATTTTAAGACTCTAGAAAAGATATGGTCTGATGTCCCTACTAATTACTCACATTTAAGAGTATTTAGTTGCTCTACTTATTTTCATGTTAATGATAGTAAGCTTGAATCTAGAGCAAAGAATGTTATCTTTCTAGAATATGCTATTGGGGTGAAAGGATATAGATTGTGATGCTCTAATCCTAAATTATCTAAATTTATTATTAGTATGGATGTTACTTTTGATGAAAAATTCATCCTTTTCGAGAAAGGAGTTTGTTATCGATACCACAAGTACTGAAAAGGAGTCTAGCAAGCAGGTGGAGGAAGAGAACTCCGCTTCAAAGGGAGTGTCTGAGGACGTTCATGTTGAACCAGTTGATACTTTAAAAGGTTCAGCTTTAGATGCTGATACGCCGCAAGAACAACAATACAATATTGCCAGCGAGAGAACAAAAAGGTAAATCCGACCTCAACGTTATGCAAACATGCTTGTTTATGCTTTGAGTATAACAGAATCGATTGGGATTCCAAAACCTTCTATCTATAATGAGGCTATTAGTGGTAGCGAGGATGCAGATTGGACTGTTGCGATGACTGAAGAGATGGAGTCTCTTTACAATAATCAAATATGGGAGTTAGTGAAGTCACCAAGGGGACAGAAATCGTTGGTTGTAAATCGGTCTTCAAGAAGAAAAAATCTGAATAGAGATTCTATAAGATACAAGGCACGTTTGGTAGTTAAAGGCTACAATCAGATCGAAGGTGTGGACTTCAATGAAATATTCTCTCTAGTTGTAAAACACACCTCAATCCGTGTGTTAATTGCCATGATTGCTCATTTCAATTTGAAGCTTGAGCAACTTGATGTGAAGACGGCTTTTTTACATGACAAGTTTGAGGAGCAAATCTTTATGCATCAGCTAGAGGGGTTCATTGTTGAAGGTAAAAAAGATCATGTGTAGGTTAAAAAATCCCTTTATGGGTTGAAACAATCTCCAAGACAATGATATTTGAGATTTGATACTTTTATATTTGAGCATGGTTACTCTAGGAGTAAATATGATAGTTTTGTTTATCATACAAAGCTCAATGATTCTTTTGTATATTTACTTGTGAATGTTGACGACATAGTGTTGATTGTAGCTAAAGACATGTCAGAAATCAATGAGTTGAAATCTCAACTCAAACATGAGTTTGAGATAAAGGACTTGGAAATAGCAAAAAAGATTATAAGGATAAAAATCCACAAGAACAGACGAGAATGAAGTTTATTTCTATCTCAGGAGAAATACATCAAGAAAGTGTCGGAGATATTTGGAACGCTTGATGCTAAGCCTAAGAAGACTCTGCTTGCTGCTTATTTTCGTCTTTCAGCAGATTTATCATATCAAACTGAAGAGGAGCAGGGCATGTCTTGTGTTCCTTATGTCAGTGCAGTTAGAAGCATTATATATGCTATGGTCTGCACCCGTCCAAATATTTTATATACAATCAGTATTGTGAGTCGGTATATGGATAAGCATGAAAAGGTCCATTCACAGACTGTGAAATGTGTACTTAGATATTTGAAAGGGTCTGCTAATACTGGTTTATATTTTGGCAGGATCACAAATTCAAATTATACAATACTTGGCTATTCTTATTCAGACTATGCGGGCGATTTGGATAAAAGATGATCCCTAACAGATTATGCATTCACTCTTTCAGGTGGTGTCATTAGTTAGAAGGTGACTCTACAATCGATACTTGCTTTGTCTACCACATAGGTAGAGTATATGACAGTGACAGAAGAAGTGAAAGAAGTCATTTGGTTGAGAAGTTTGGTTGAAAATCTCGGCTTACACCAAGGTGTTCCTACGTTATTTTGTGATATCATATGTATCATGAAAGAACCAAACATATAGATGTCAGGTATCATTTTATCAAAAAAATTAAAGCCATTAAGATTGAGAAAATTTGTACTAGAGATAATCCAGCAGATATGATGACAAAGCCCGTACATTGGCCCAAGTTCGAGTATTGTCTCGAATTGCTTGGAGTTCAAAACGAATGTTAAGTCCGTAAAGGACTTCTAGCGAGACAGCAAGAGTGAAGAGAAGATTTTCGTATTCAAAGTCAATGTGGAGATTTGCTATTTTTTTGACTTTGAACATGAATTCATAACTCACCAACCCTATTACTATTTTCACCCACCCCATCACTATTCCACCAACCTCTCTCACTATTCCACCAACCCTTTTGAAGCTATAAATACCTATGAAGATGAGAGGTAAATGCATTCAGAACAGAGAAAAGAAAGAGAGTTGAAGTGAAAAGAAAAAGAGAATTTTCTTTGAGTGTTCTCTTCTTTGGGTGAGTTTGGAGAGATTAAAGTAGTCTTCTTTTGTAATCTTCTCTTTTGTAATGAGTGAATTCTTCTGATGTTCTCGTCCATGGACGTAGGTCATATTGACCGAACCACGTTAAATCTTTGTGTTTGTTCTCTGTCTCTACTGTGATTACATAGTACTGTGTTATTATCCACTTTGTATAGACATTTTTTGTGGCTGTGTAGCCCCCGCTGCAACAGAGTTATTACTATTTTGCTATCGACTTTGCAATATTTAATGTTCATGAACTGTTAGTGCTCTTGTAGAGAGAACTAAATGTTTTAACTCAGTAGTGGCCAGTGCCCACATACAAATGTTCACCACCTAGTGGTTTAGCATACTAACAATGTCAGCATAGAACAGATGGATTAGAAGGACATGCTCTGGAACTTACTAGATAATCCTTGTACTCAAATACTGTGTAGACTAGCAAATTTAAGTCATAATAAAAATCACATAAGTTGCATTTTTCCATGTTTAGCTTAAGAAGCTAATACCTTTGCTTCATGTCACACAAACATGGTAATAGTCAAAATCAAGAGTGACCATTATGCTGTATCATCTACTTTTCATATGTGCATGATTCTCTGAACTTTAGCAACTAAAGTTCATATAAAAAAGAAGAAATGTTTAAATAGGCAGACATTGACTGAAAGCTTAATCAGTATGTCTCTGAGGCAATGATAATCAACTTTTAAGATGGCAATTGTGATGACTAAAGACAGAGTAACCTTTAATATAACAGGACAGGACAAGAAATACTAGGTATATATCAAAATGAAATATTATAACATTTCCAACAAAATGTATCCCCTATAGTGAAGAGATGCAAAGATGAGGCTCACAATTCAAATTAGTAACAGCTGATGAGTGCGAAAGCTGTAATGATCTCCTAATATTCATCAGTAATCAACATGGGGAATTTTTTAGAAACTTGAGAGATATACAATTTTTTTAAGAAAGTTTCTACCATGATGTTACCCACTTATTTGTTCTGCAACATGGGGCTCTATTGCAGCATCTGTTACCCTGGTTTCGAGGTCCTGCACTTTGTTGCCATCTTTTTTAGGAATAATCAAGCCATATCCTCCCTCTTTTCTCTTGTACAAAATATTTACTTCACCTGGAAAGAAAATAAGCAATACCATTACAGCAACATCTGTCAGGTCAGCATCTATAATGAAAACAGAGTAAGTTGTTCTAATAAACAAAATACTACATTCAAGTCCGACTAAAAAGGTTATTTAGTAACGTTAGGTGAAGAAACCAAAACTTTCTAATCTGATTTCGGAGAAGTCGATATTGAAAAGATTCACTTATGAATCTATCATTTCAGAACATTAATCTCTGGGCAAAATACACCTTTTCACAGTACCCTTCAAAGCCATTATTTCAGTCAGAGGTAAGCCAAAAAATGACCCTTACCTGTTTCAATATTTCTGAAGCCATAGAAATCATGATCAACGTTCTCTATCTGCTCCAATGCTTCAGCAACAGTCAGTGGAGGCATATCGAAGTATTTTGTACGTACAACCTGTAATATAGAATCCGCAGCATTCGACGACTGAATAGAATACTTACAATCATGCAATCCAATAAAAAAAATGCAAATTGTATGCACAAATTATCATTTATATCAAACAATGACTAGATTAAAATATTTAAATACAATTAATTAGTGGATAACAATTAGAGCAATTGTCTTTTAAGTGAATGGTAAATAATCTCATACAGACTACTAAAGAAGAAACAATATTACGAAAGCAGAGTGACCCTACGCATTCGACGACTGAATAGAATACTTACAATCATGCAATCCAATAAAAAAATGCAAATTGTATGCACAAATTATCATTTATATCAAACAATGACTAGATTAAAATATTTAAATACAATTAATTAGTGGATAACAATTAGAGCAATTGTCTTTTAAGTGAATGGTAAATAATCTCATACAGACTACTAAAGAAGAAACAATATTACGAAAGCAGAGTGACCCTACGTTTGTTGGACATCTGGAAAAATCAAAAAAGATATGCAAGTTTGGCCAATTTTGAATGAAGTAATGATATTTTAGGCAATAGATGCAGAAATTTCTTAAAACCATACTGAAAATAGAAATTTTAAATTTCACAAGTATCTCTTCGGTGCACATTGTTTTATTTTGTGCTTTAATTTACAGGTTTTCGAGCTAAATAATAAATCGATGTAACTTCCTATGACTTACAAATCTGTGAAAACACAGAAATTCTATTTCTTCTCTATTAAAACTTCCAAACGTAACCAGATTCATGCATTCGCATAAAGCAAGATTCTCAAGTCAAGAACAAACTCATTAAACCAGTATAAAACAATTTGGCATTGACTAAGTAACGAAAAAACAATAATCTGAGTAAGAGAAGAAATCAAAAGGGTGCCAGATATAAACCTCATCCAAGATGCCCCCATCATCTCCTGTTGGAAGCAGTTGCACATCCCCTTCTTCTTCCTCCTCCTCCTCACTCTCACTCTCCTCAACTAATTCAATCTCCGGCTCCCGGACCTTAAGCCTGTTAAATCCCTTCATATGCCTCCCATGATCTGTTTCCTTCTCCTTAATCTTCCTCAATTTCCTCTGTATAATGGACGAAACCAAATCTATACTCCCATACACCGACTCTGAGGACTCTTCAGCTCGAATAACCCCATGTTTCTTGGTAAACAGAGTGACCTACACCCAATGCAAGGTCTAAAAGATCAAATTAAGCATCCAAAGATTCCAACAACCAAATAAACAAACTCAATTTGATGCAACCTCGCATTTCCGTTGTTTCGGGCCTTTACCAAATTCGCCACCGCGGACTGAGAGGCGTACATCAACCTCTCTGACGAGGTGAGAGTGCTTCTGCACGGCCTTGCCCACTTTATCCTCAATGTGCTTCTTCACTGCATCCGTCAACTGAAAAAAATTTATAAGAAAATCAAGAATAATTCTAAGGCATGTTGTCCTAGAAATAGCTTTAAAATAGCGTCATTGTTCCAACCAACGACCTCCAGTCATAATCTTCATTGAAAACCCCAAAAAACCTTAAAAACTCACATTCAAAACAGGTGACTCGTCAAAATCTTGACTGAAAACCCAAAAAAAATTCTTAAAAACTCACATTCAAGACGTGTGACTCACTTTATTAATGCTTATGTCTAGTTAAGATATAAGTCACGAAGCTCAAATGTAAAACAGTTTATTTTTAGTTTTTTAGTGAATATGTATAAATTTAAAATGAAATATGGTTTCTACATAATGACCCTATGTTTAAGGTGGTCTCCAGGAGAGAAAACAAAGCCTAATAGTAATAATTTCTCAAAATAAATAAAGAAACAGTATCAATGGTGACAATACATCTAAGTTCTTTCCCTGAACGATCAATCGCACGGCGGAGAGGGGGCCATCCCAGGACATTTGGACGGCGACGGAGCCTCCGTTCTTGCATTGTGAGCTCAGCTTCAGCTTGTTTGCGATAAAAATTTGATTTTGACCGAGGAAATTTGAGTGGAGAGGGGGAAACGAAGGGGAACCTGAGGGTTTAGCATTGAACAACAATGGAGAAGTAGCAGCAGCAGATGAGGAAGAAGAAAAGCAGCAGCAGGAGTAAGGATTCGCCCAAGAAACGTTCGCCATCGATCGATTCCACCGAGATTTCGAGAAATTAGGGTTAGGGTTTTAAAGAGAGATAAGAAGTGGGGTAAAGTTATGAGGGAAGAAGATGAAGCAGAGGGGGAGTGATTTTTTCTCGATCGGGATTGAGAGGGACGGGGGCTAATCCATATCCTGATACTTCGAGTAGGTTTCAGGTGACCCGCGGGGACAGGTTAGGGCTCGGAGGGATGATGGATGATTGGTGATTGTGAGGAGAGGATAAGACGTCGAGTTAGCTGGGGTGTAGGGTAGTTATATGGGCGCTGTGAGTGAGTTGACTGTGGTCCCTCCGTTTCTCGTCGAATGACTTACGAGCTCGAGAGGGATGGGACCCTTCTACTTGCCAGACGTACGTGGGATGATAAGTGTGGGGCGTGGCAAAAGACATTTCTAAGGAAAATCTTGGAATCCACTGGCATGTGAAATTTGCTGCCAAGGAAAATATCCATATATAGTACTAATCTTATCGTCCCCATCACTCTCAAAAATGGATTTGGATTCTGTTCGCTGTAAAATAAATATAGTGGCCACCGCTCATGGCAATACTTGGATGCGAAAAGTATAAGTTATAAATGGATCGCAATTATTCACTAGATAACAAACCGTTGTGATCAAAACCAATAGCTTTCCTATTTTCTTAAGAGTGGGGATACTCTCACGCCTCATTTGGTATGCGGGAACGAGTGCGAATGAAATGCAATTCCAACTCTTTATTCATGCATACCAAACACGATGTGTTTTTAGACGCTAGAATTGTTATTCCCACTATTATCAATTTCTCACTTTATGTGTGAATTGTCATTCCCAACCATTTAATAAGAAATTGATATTCCTACTTAAGTGGGAATAAAATAATCAAATAATTTCCGATTATATCCTCTTTAAAAGATACAAATAGATATAAATTCTCATATGAAAAATTATTTTTATAGAAATAATATCATTAATTAGCTGCTCCTACAAATATACAAATCGATGTAAAATATTAAAATATTATTCTTTGTTCGACTTTGTCGTAATTCCATCGCGTCTGCAGTAGAAAAAAAATCTCGTCTTCGACTCGACGCGACTCGGTTAGGTAATCATTATTTCTTTTTAAAATATGTATGTGTGGCTAATCTTTACCTAATCTTTACAGCAACTTTTTATCTTTTAACGATTCGATTGTGTAATCTGTTGGCAATTAGGTTAGTAAATATTTTATCTTGGGATGTATGATTTGAAGTTCCATTGAAGCATATGTGCCTAATCTTTTCAGTATTTTTTTCAATCACTCACAACAAGAAATAATGTGCTTAATTGATGAGATTGAAACTCTATGTTTTATTTAGAGGTTAACATGTTTTTTATTCCTTCAAACTTTCTAGGTTAACATCTTTTTCTATTCCTAAACAATTTTTTGAAAGTTAAAAGTGCATTTGAAATTTTATAGAAATTTTATATACAGACTAAAAGTTAATATGTCTTTCCAATCCTTCAAATTTTAGTGTTTTCTTCCGATGTCGTAAATCATGTAGCACGCATATGGATTTTAGTCTATTGTATACGTTTGTGCACAGTGATGCCAGTAGTATTAGCTGCTCGTACAAGTAATAGACATGTAGCATTAGAAGTTAGAAATATGGAATTATAATTATTTATAATCAAAAATAATTTCTATAAAAAATAATTTTCAATTAGTATACCAAAAGTCTAAAACTGTTGTTGAGGTGGTGTACCAAAATATAACTATCAACTGAAAAATTATATCTATAAGAAAAAAAAATTATTTCTATAAAACTTATTTTTCTAAAAAAATAAATTATTTAGTTATTTTTAAAATATTTTTATGGTTTAAAAATTCTGTGTTTTTGTAATGGCATTATTAAAAAACTAAATTTTATTCTCACTTGTGAACAAATGATAATAAACATGAGAATAAGAATAAGATTGTCATTCCCGTTTCATTCTCTAAACGCGTCCAAACATGAGAATGAGAATATGTATTCCATTCTCACATCTATTACATTTCATTCCTACTTTTTTTCTGTTCACACTTGACTTCATTCTCGCATATCAAACGAGTCATTAAATCCTAGAAATATGACTCCATCGTATATTACACCAAAGTTTATATATATTTGCATCTACGGATGATATTGACCACTATCTGGTTGAGTACGAATAAAAACCGCGTACATAAATTTGTCGGATTGGAAAGAGATAGATGGCCAGTAGAGTTGCACAGGCCTGCACAAAACACAAAACACTACAAAAAAAAGAAGAGTTAGGGGCAATTATTTTCGTCACTTTTAATTTAATTAGAGGCAAATA